TACGCAATCATCGAACTGTATGTATGGCAAAGTAATTCCACCATTAGACTAGAATTTTCAACCTAATCTGTCAAAAGTTATGGATAAATCCTAATCTGTGTTCAAAGTTTAGACAGAAATCGAAAAGGGGAAAAGGGGAAAAGGGAAAAAGGGGAAAAACTTGTTGAGTGATGGAGACGGTGGGCGACGGAGACGGTGGGCGACGGAGACGGTGGGCGACGGAGACGGTGAGCGACGGAGACGGTGAGCGACGACCACCGACGGAGACGATGATCGACGACGGTGAGCAATCAATGGAGGAGCGACGACCGTTGTGGGAAAAGATGGAGACGAGATCGACGACCGCTGTGAGAGAAGATTGAGACGAGATCGACGACCGTTGTGGGAGAAGATGGAGACGAGATCGACGACCGCTGTGGGAGAAGATGGAGACGAGATCGACGACCGCTGTGGGAGAAGATGGAGACGAGATCGACGACCGCTGTGGGATAAGCTGTGGGAGACGAGATTGACGACCGCTGTGGGATAAGCTGTGGGAGACGAGGATATGGCGAAGATGAAATCCCACGAGGATGGGATTTTGAAATCCCATGTATTTTCAAAGGATTTTGAAATCCATAGTTCACGGGATTTTAGATGATTCCTTGGATTTGAAATCCTACCATTCCAACAAACCAAACACAGGATTGGAATGGATTTCAAATCCAAATCCCCCCAAATCCATTCCAATCCCGCAAACCAAACGCACCCTAAGTGTTAATTGAATTGTGACTATTTGATTGAGTAGCAAATTTAATAAAAATAAGGTATATATATATATATATATATATATATATATATAAGTATATGTATGTATGTATATAATGGTTATTATAATATTTAATAATTGATTTTATTATAAATAACATCAAACTAAAGGGGTGTTTGGAATTGTTTATTTGAAACAACTTATGTTTTTCTACAAAAGTGTTTATCAACTTATTATAAGTTAGAATGGTTTAACTTCTTCAAAAACTCCTTATTACTGGTTTGGCACCGGTATAAGTTGTTTATCCAAACACTCAAAAGTGTTTATTAGTAGTGTCATACCAGAATAAGTCAATAAGTTGTTTCTAAGCAATCGCAAACACCCCCTAATTATTTAACTCTCAAATAATCTAATAACTATAAATAAAAGTAAGGGGCCGTTTACCTAAATGCCTACCCGGTAAGCGCTTACTGTTAAGAGTCAACTCTATAATTTATTTTACCAGGTAAGATCGTAGTATATCAAAATGGTATTGTATGCAACAATTTACCCGGTAAGCGCTTATCCGGATAAGAGTCGTTACCCTCACTTACCGAGTAAGATTCTTTATCTTTATTATTGCTCTTACCGGGTAAGATTTTTGACCTTTGTCATGTTCATCAGGTAAGGAAAATTACACAGTTAACACTTACCGGGTAAGCGTTTAATAAACGGCCCCTAAATGATTTATTCACAAAAACTAATATTTGCAACTTGAAATTAAGATAATGAGAAGAATTGCATTTGAAATTACAAAAATAACACTAATAATCTAAATTATATCATTTTTTATATAATTTTATATGTTTTATTAAATTATCCTTTAAGTATAATCATTTTTAGTGTATATCAATTAGTTTAAATAAATTAGTTAATTTATATTTTTACATCTATTTAAATATAATAATTTGTTGTGTATATTAATTAAAATGAGGTACCAAATATGCTATAAAATTACAAGTAAAGGAAGGATCAAATCTATTACTAATATGAAAGTTGATAGAGGGACTAAATGTGTTATAATATTCAAGTATCTTCATACTAATATCTTTACAATGTTACGATATAATTACCTTATTTTCTTCTTTTTTTATCAAACATTTTGCAACACAACAAGAAAAAGTGCCTTGTAATATTGATTTGCAGTTACTTAGGGATTGTTTATTTATCTTTTAATGGTTCTATTAAGAGACAATCTTAGAATTGTTAAGAAGTGAATTTTATTTGGCAAAAAAAAAAGTCTGTCTCTTAATGGTTCTAAAACCCTCTGAATGACTTTGTAGTCTGGATCTCTCTTAACCATTAAGAGCCCTAATTTCATTGTATACAATTACCGAACAATTATATTTCATTTTGCATTATACCATGAAAGCCTCTTAATTATTTTGATCACTTAATCATTTTACATCAAACCATTCGACAATTGTTTAACAGCCCATAATAATACTAGTCCGATACAAAAAGATTAAAGGTTAAAAAAAGCTCATGTCAAGTATATATATATACTATATTATAAAGCATTTGAAAAAAAAAAGCTCTTGAACACCATTTTTTATGCACGAAGTACTGTTTATTGATGCATATTACTTAAAATTCAAGATTACAAGTAAGTTGTGCGTAAGTACAACTTATTAAAACTTCATATTTGAATTTGTGTAACCAACTGCAGATAAACATAATCAAATATTAGATAAACATCTCATTTTAAATATAAAAATTCTAAAATATAATTAAGATAATCATTGATTTTTAAAAAGATACTTTAATTATTATCTTTATAAAAAATTATATTATTAAACCTAAATTAAATTTCTTTGTTACTAAACTTAAATTAAATAATAATTAAAAATTTGAATTAAGGAAATTAGACCAAAACACAAAGAACTTTAAAAAAGATTAATTTGATACTGATATCGATATATTTTTTTTCAAAATTTTATAATATTTTCAAATTTATATTTTATTCAAAAATAAAAACATTATCATTTTCTCAAAACCACATAAAACCGTATTATATCGACATAAAAAAGGCATAAAATGAAATACTGAAATCAAGATGTATCTTGATGTATTACACGAGTACCCTTCTAATTATATGTAAATATATACACACAAGAAAGCTTTTCAGTCGATTGAAATGTTTAAACGGCAAATAATATCAGACCGCCTGATTTAACTATTTTCTAAACACAACAAAACTAACAAAAACAGTCTGGTTTAATTTGGTTCAACTAGTTTTCCAGTCCGATTAGTTTTCTTAAACACTGCCTACCCATTTCTAAGTAAGTTTTCATTGGTGCAAGTCACAAATAACCTCTTCAAGCAGTGGCTTCAAAGATTTGAACCAAAAAATAAAGCAGCTGAATGTCCCATTTCAGACACAAATCATTTTCACAGCTGGAAATGCACAAAGCCCGGGCTTTTTGAGGCCAGAGTCTAAACCTTCCAAGCCCATTTTTTCAGCAAACAGAAAAAATCAGGGCTTTTTTGGGCCAGATTTAACCAGTCCATGAAAAAGAAGTTGGTTTGATCAGACTTTAGAGGCAGGTCTGGGCTCGGGCATGGCTTTTTAAGGTCATGCTTCAAGCTTGGGCTTTCTTGTGCATCTCTATTTGCCACGGAAGTTGCTCAAGGTCACAACACAAACAAGAAGTCAAATCAATACAAACACTCTGTGCCTCGAAAAACCATTTATGCCATGTTTACAGGGCCAAGGCGAAAGGGGGGAGGGATAATAGAACAACTGATTACAAAATAGACCACAAGTCATGATCGATCTCAAGTTCATCCATTCCAACAAAGCAGATGTTATACTTGGCAAGTCATGTTTGATCGACTCCTAAGAAGCATCCCGTAATTAAAATGAAGCATGAATGAAAAGCAACTGCTACAAGAATGGTCTGAAGGAAGTCTGGAATGTGTTGGGTTGTATAAATAAATATATACAGTCAACTTACACTACCATATCATGCCCACAGCACCTACGCAATTAGAAGAATCAGGACACTAGCTTAGGTATTGTGCCCACGGTTCAAACAAGATTACATTCCTATGAACAATTCTTTTCGATAAACCTGTACAATATAACTACTGTATACACACCAAGCTTGCTACGGTTATAATCCTCATCAAATGGTTATAAGAGCTAACTCGTTTAGAAGTAATCACATTTTGTGATCAAATGTCCATAATGCTTACACCACCGGTAGAAAAAGAGGCATGAAGCCAGAACTACAATCAATAAAAATGCAACTGGAGGCAGAGAGAACATACTAACAAAAATTGTAGTAGCAGCAGCAAAAGAACTTGAAAATTAGCAAGTTACAAAAAAGTTGGTCTCACATAAATATCCACAGATGATCAGACGATTACTCTCTGAAAAACTAAAGGGGAGTTTGGTTCATTTTAAGGAACGAGAAGGAAAATGGAAATAGGAATGCAAGAGAATGGGAATAGGAATAAAATTTTCATTCCTCCAAATGGAGAATTAATAGGATTGGGGTAATGGGCTCATTATATTATATCAAACCAAACCACATCTTTCATCATCATTCCCATTCCGTACCTTTTAATACCCCAACCAAATGCCCACTAAGAATACCAACAAATAATGAATAAAACTCTCAACATTACTGTGTGCACCTGCCACGAGTAAATAACTATATATATATATATCTTAAAAAAGATGAGAAACCATAACAACAATTAAAAGGTAAGGTCTTAAAATCTTAGTGAAGCATTAGATATTTGAAGCAGAAATGTGGTGACTCAAAGTTAAATACCCCAATGTCAAGCTAACCATTTACTAAAATGCTCTACAAATTTGATCCCTTGACTACAGGTATCAACCAATTCCTAGGCTGTGCTATGATTGCTTCAAGAAATTAGGCATTAGAAAGAATATTATGCTCACATTCCAGTGAATCACTTTAATCTCTTGAACCCAAATTCACCTAAAGAAAGATACCAGAAGTGGGATTATCTGCCTAATACAATATTAATAAATATAGAACACCTACGTTGTAAGGATTCAGGAAGGAGAAATGATCATGCACATTGCAGGTTTTGCTTTATGCCGAGACATTGCTTAAACTATCTAAAACTCCAAATCCAATTCAAAACAAGATCGCCAATGGTGACTACTCCAACGTAGCATATAATATATTGATGAATAAGGTATAGATAGAAGAGCGCCAAATGACGGCATTATTAACCACAATCACGTTTCATATCAGCAAAAGGTACTAAACGATTATAACAAAAACGGACAGGCATCCATAAGGCAATCATGAAAATAGTCAAACAAAATTAAGCTTCTACACGAAATAACACCATCACCATGTCGCAAAATACTCTCAGAAAAACAACAAAACACAAATCAAAGGTAGTTTCAAAAAAGACAATAAGATTACTCTGTCTTTAACGGTATGATTTCTGGAACCTAGCACGAGCACCACGACCACCAAACTTCTTCGGCTCGCACCTTCTCGGATCAGCAACAAGGAGAGTCCTATCATACCTCACTAGAATATCCTTAATCTCCTTCTTCTGTTCTTCATCAACAAACTTCTGGTAGTACGCAACGAGCGCTTTCGCGATGCTCTGACGGATAGCATAGATCTGAGAAGTATGACCTCCACCCTTGACACGGATCCTCATATCAACGCCAGCAAACTTGTGGCGACCAAGAAGAAGGATCGGCTCAAAAGCCTTGTAACGTAGGATCTCAGGCTGAACCAGCTCGATTGGGACACCATTGATCTTAATAAGGCCACGACCAGCCTTGCAGTGAGTGACGGCCACCGCCGTCTTCTTCCGGCCGAAACATTGAACAGAATTTGGTGGAGCTGCCGCCATGTTTAGTGAGAAACCCTAGTTCTCGAAAGAGTGATCTCGGAGAGGGGGAAACGTTAGGCGATTAATTGGACGTGATAGAGGGATTTTATCAGGTGCAGTTAGGGTTTTGGAGTTATAACTTGCCCCTTGGAATTCAAAATATTTACGAAATTGGTACTTGTTAACTTAAAACGTGGGCCTCAATTTGTATGGGCTGAATATATTGTTTTGGGTTATGCGGCCCACAAAATTTCCAAACCCTTTCTTGCATTTGGGCTTCAATTCTCATTCGAAAAAGTAAAATTTTGTATAGGTAGAGATGGCAAAATCGGCCCGGCCCGGCCCAGCCCGGGACAGCCGAGGACCGGGACCGGGATCGACAAAGGACCGGCCCGAGACCGGGACCGGTAAGGACCGGTTATGGGACCGAAAACCGGAACCGGTTGAGGTTTTTGGTAGTTTCGTGGGACCGGGACCGGTTATGGGACCGACTATGGACCGTCGCGGCCCGGCCCGAAAATTCAAATAATTTTATAAATAAATGTATTTTTAAATAATTTTATAATGTATTTTATAAGAAAACGTAATTTTAATTATATTAAATTGCATTTTTAAAGTGTATTTGAGTGACCCAATTGTAAATTTTATAATGTATTAAAAATATATATCATTAAAAAAATCTTATTTTTTTAATGCAAGGACCGGTTGGGACCGGGACCGGGACCGGTGGCCCATAACCGGTTATGAAGTACCTTGACCGGTCCTATCATTTTCGACCGAGACCGGTTATGGCCAGTTATGAGAAAAGTGAGGACTGATTGGGACCGGTTTTTGGCCATCTCTAATTTGTAGTGATGGCCAAACGGACTGGTTTTCGGCCATCACTACTTGGGACCATTTTACCCAAAAAGGAAGGCTAGGAATAAATAAAAAAAATCGACATAATGGAGAATCATCGTCATGGTAAGCATTTACTGTGTGTCATTTAGGGTACGTTTGATATTCAGATATGATAGAACAGAACAGGTTAGGGAGGTATAAAAAGGACTGATAATTTTATCCGGTAAATGTGGGAGATTTTTACCCGATTATTGTTTACCAGGTAAGAGATGCTAACCAACAATCTATTTTGAGGGTGAGAATGCTACCTGATAAGATAAGTATGATTGGTAACTCTTGCCGGTAAGTGTTTACTCGATAATCTATTGGTAAACAGCTCCTTAAAACGTTTTAGATCTTTAAGGATAGAGATAAGAACTGATACAACGAATGACACAGTCTTATAAGTCATCAAGTTGACAATTAATGTGTCAACGGTAATTTTAGGGAAAACATAACAAACAACATGCATTTGATCAACAAGTGATATATCGAGTATGCTCAAGTGGTCTTTAATCGAACTTAAAGACGAGTGTTAATTATCAAAATATATCTATAAAAACCTCCAAAATATCACAATTTTACTATGCAAAATCGTCATTTTCAGATGTTACAGAACCCTCTTTTGATAAAAACAAATTGTAATTTTGTATGTATGATCGATCATCTTGTTGAGGATGTTTATATGTTATCTCCTGCTCCGCATTGTTTTTTTTTTACAATGATTATGTCGATCCAAAAAAATTGTTAGATCTTTATAACGACTTAAGCAAAATCCTATGAAGATGCGTTATGGTGTAAGACGTATCCATGGGGGTGTTTGGGATTGCTTATAAAAACAAATTATTGACTTATTCTGCTGTGAGACCGGTAATAAGCACTTTTGAGTGTTTGTATAAAGAAATTATACTGGTGCCTAAACGGTAATAAGAAGTTTTTGAAGAAGTTAAACTCTTCTGACTGTTAATAAGTTGATAAGTGCTTTTATAAAAAAAACATAAGTTATTTCAAATAAGCAATCCCAAACACCCCTTATATCATTATGATAGGCCGTGACATTTGTATACCTGCGTTTTTTACAAATGTGTTTTTTCTTCCTTTTAAAATTTTATTTACCTTTTCGGTTTTACATTTTTACAAATTTACCTAATTACCTCACTCACATATTCATGGATTCACGCACACATGGCACAAATTTGCGGTTAAGACGAAGCCGTAAAACCATTCCAAGTTCTGGTTTATATCTTTGATCATAGACTTTTTATATGTTTTTTCTACTGATATGATTTTAATTGTTTAATATCATTATCTCACTCAATAGTAATAAAAAACATATATGTGTATTACGAATTTGGTTATTTATTATAACACTCTAAAAACTGGAAAGAAAAAGCTACTAATTTAAAACTTTTATTTAATACTATTATTACTCCAAATTAAATCTTAACTGGAATCTTTGAGTTAGAGGTTGTTTAGCAGTTGCTGAATGGTTTGGTGCAGAATGATTAAGTGGTCAGAATGATTAAGAGGCTTTCATGATATAGTGTAAAATGAAATATAATTGTTTGGTAATGGTTTACAATGAAATCAATGAGCTTAATGGTTAAGGGAGGCTTAGGATACAAAATCATTCAAAGGGTTTTAGAACCATTAAAAGACAGACTTTTTTTTTGCCGAAGAAGATTCGCCTCTTAATGATTCAGATGTTGTCTCTTAATGGAACTATTAAGAAGCAAACAAACAACCCCTTACTTACAAAGCATAATTAATTTAAAGGTCCACAACATTCAAACAAAACCTAAAAAGAACTAGGTTGGGACGGATGTTACTACAACTCAACAATAGCCGATATCTCCAAGCTACTCAAAAGTGCGAAAGACGTCGCAATTTAGCTAAGTTCTTCACATGCCTCTAAATAGCACTCAACTCTTCTTAAATGTTGCTAGAACCATTCTCCAACGACTACCTGATGCACATGTTGACAAATAAAAAGAGTTAGACTTAACGCCAAGTAAGTTCAAATATTTTTCATCTTTAATATAAAATAATAAAACTGAAAGAATGTTATTTAAATCACCATTTCCAAAATGAAATGTATTTAGTATAAAAGCAACATCTTTTCCAAAATTCATCATTTTCGTGATGAAAACTCATTAATCAAAACATCCATTTAACATGAAAAAATTGCAAATAAGATTTAATATTCAAATACTAAAAAATATGTTCTGAAATTGATTCGATTCCAGCTAAATCCAACTTCAAATTAGGACACTAGTCATGATCAATCAACTTCAATAATCAATACCCATTTGAGATTATTCCTCTTGGGAGGAGGTCTTTTTTATTTTCACTTCAACAATATTCTTGAAAGAACCAGAAGGATCACTATAGTTTTCAGAGCTAAAACAAGATTAAAGAATATGAAAAGTAGATATGAGTGTGAAAACCTGAAAAGAAATAGTTTTGTTTATCCCAGAAAGATAGAGAAAAGAGGGACAATCTTGTGCACTTAAACCAAGTTTCAAGATTTGATGAAAATGAGAGCTTTTTTGTTAAAGATTTGTGGGACTAAGACAAAATTACACAAACCCACAACAAGGTTCAACAGTAGAAGAATGAATCTGTAAAACCCACCACAAGGTTCAACAACAGAACAATGAATCTGTAAATCATTTTAGAAAAAAGAAACAAAACCAATAAAAACCCTATTACACATTGGATTGGAATATTGATATATTTTGATCATAAAAACCCAACCAGAATCATTGAATCAGTTCATCAAATAAAGTTACACATTCAAGATGCACACATAAACAAATAACATAGGCAGAAATGGAAGCAAATTTAAGAACAACGATAGTACCCTAGTTACAAAACTAGAACAATCAAACACACATTATCACCAAAACTCACCAAAATCAAAGCATCAATTTGTAATATAAACATCACAGAATTCACAATCATACACACATATAGCAGGAATCAAGGGAACTATTATCACTCATCATTTCAACATAGACAATTTTGAATGAAGCGCAAATGGAATTACTAACAAAATTCCTCAATAACACACAATTATTAACAAAATTCCTGAATCCGATTATTCATAATAAAATGTTAGCATAATTTTTACACATACCCAGAAGACCAAAAGCCAAATAAACAAGTTCATCAAAGAAAATAGCAGAAATGTACCAGGGAGAAGTAAGGAAATCAAAACAACTAGGACAGAAATGTACCTTTGTGGATGTGGAGGGAGGAGGTGCAACGAGCAGCTGAGGAGGGAGGAAGGTCGAGCAACGATGGGGGAGAAGTGACAAAGCCGAAAGTGGAGGAGGGTGGGGAGTGACGAGGGTCGGGAACGATGAGGGAGGGGGAAGAGGGGATGCGAGCGATGAAAACCTAATCGTGAAAAAGGAGCACGCATGGAAAGTTGAAATCTGACCCGAGTAAGCATTGTTTTCATACTGTCTCAGTAAGTACTCGGTCAGTTTCGATCAAAATGGTAGTTTAGCAAACAAGTTGATTGTTGATCAGTTAACGCCTAGTAAACAACCCCTAAGTGGTCTTGGTGTAGGTAATGAGAGTTGGCGGTGGTCGATGATGATTAATGGTGATGGTTAAAAAAAATAACTAAAAAGTAAAATTAGATCCATGTAAATACCATAGTTGCCACGTCATTATCATATAAGACCATCCACATCCCTGCAATCCATTTACACTTTCAATTGTGCCACATCAGCTTTTGCAATTATCTTCCACACACCTGCAATTCACCTACAACACTTTCAACTGTGTCACGTCAGCTTTTGCAATTACCACCTACACACCTGCAATTCACTTACACTTTCAAAAGTGGTCCCCACTACAACATTTATTAACTATTTTATAAATTATTTATATATACATTCTAATTATTTTTTAATTAATAACATGTTTTATTTTAATTCAATGTTAATTAAAACGATTAATATATGATATAATATAATATAATAATTATATAATTTATTGTTTTAWATTTGAAACATTAATTTATTAAATCATATCAAAACACAACATTTATTGAATTAAAAATATTACATATAGATAGAAATAAAAYGTTACATTAATCATTGTTTTCTTCTCCTTGAAATCGGCTCCAAATCTCTTCAACCAAATCCGCTTGTAATTGATTGTTGTGAGTCATGTTACGTATTCTTGCATGACTTCGAAGATAATTTTCATACTCAGGAAGATGATTTCGAATAAATCATGCCGTTTCAAAGTTTGTTGGTTGTTATGAACAGATCCTACACCGACGTGAAAGTGGCTGAATGAAGAAGACAAAAAAAAACAGGGCTTTAGAGTTATATAGCTCGTTAGAAGGTGGAAAATTCAACTTCTTGCATGCTTGGGTTGAATTGCGTGATCAAGAAAAATGGATCAGTCAACAAGAAAGACCTCTGGAGGTTGTTGATCTAGTAGAAGATAGGGGGTCAAAGAGGACAAAATGATGGATCGGGCCAATATACCTCATCATCCTCAAATACAAACACGTCGACCCCCGAGCTAACGTCGACTGCTCGTCCAATGGGAAGGAAAGCTTCAAAGGATAAAGGTAAACAAAAATTTATATCAACTAACTCTATCGACCGTATCGAAGAGGCGATGAAAGAACAATTCAATCTTGATGCTGAAAAAATAGAAGCAATGAACAAATATACGGAAGCTATAAAAGAACGAGAGAGAAAGAAAGAGGAACGAGAGAGAAAGAAAGAAGAACGGGAGAAGATCAAAGATCAACTTAAAAAAGAAGAATTGACAATCAGATTGATGGAAATGGATCCTTCAACTATGACAGACCAACAACGAAAATTGTACGATAAAAAAATCCGTCAACTTTTAGACGAATAAACATGTAATTTTATTTGTGTTGTTTTGTTAGTCGTGCGTGTTTTATGTTAGTTATATGTAATTTTATATATTAGATTATAATTTTATGTAATTATAAAATTTAATGTTTAAATTAATTTAGTTATATTATATTTAAATTTTTTTAAATAACATATATACATGCATTGCCAATTTTCATATAAGAATAATTAATGTAATTGATACATATATTAATATTATAAAAATTAATTTATTTAAATAATGAGAAAAAAAAAAGAAATTGGTGAGGAGTTGGCGCCTACGTGGCTTTCAACATAAATTGCAAATGTTGCAAGTGGGTCTCCTACATGGATGAAAATTTCTGACAAAAGGGCTTTTGCAATTGGCTTTGAAAGTCGTGTCGGGCACCCACACACGACTTTCAAAGCCAATTGCAAAAGCCCTTTTGTCAGAAATTTTCATCCATGTAGGAGACCCACTTGCAACATTTGCAATTTATGTTGAAAGCCACGTAGGCGCCAACTCCTCACCAATTTTTTTTTTCTCATTATTTAAATAAATTAATTTTTATAATATTAATATATGTATTAATTACATTAATTATTCTTATATGAAAATATTCTATGCATGTGTATATGTTATTTAAAAAAATATAAATATAATATAACTAAATTAATTTAAACATTAAATTTTA